ATCCTGCGCTGGGCGCCTTCCGCAAACAAGGCCAACACTCTCCTCTTTCTGCCTCCTGAGGAAATGTTTAACCACCAAAGAGATTCTACCTTAGGCCGGACATAGGGCACCTCAAACCCTACTGAAATACGGAGACGAACGTGCGATTCTATGTTTCCTTGTTTGTTTGTCTTTGGTTTTCTTCCCCCCGCAGAAAACAAGCTTAGCTCCGCATCCAGCTAATTAAGGCTTCTTTCCAAGACTACTCTGGCTTTCCGTGCAGCGACGAATACAGCCTGTGCAGCGACGAATACAGCCTGTGCAGCGTGCCTTTACCACGTATCGTTTTCAAATTGCTTCCAAAGGAAGGGTCCCGTGCTGCGGGTGCTCTCCGGCACCTGTTGCACCTTCGTGGCGCTGCGGAAAGCGGGAAAGGGTCGCTCGGCTCGCAAGTAGGGTCAGAGCTGCCAGGGTTGATGTCTTCATTGAAAGTGGTTTAGTTGGAAATTCCACTGTAAGATTGCTCGGGCATGAGTAAGAATCGCAAAGCGTCTCAATTTGTAGAGTTTTCCTATCAAAAATAGCTTAAAAAGTGTGTGTTTGGTGTGTTAAGTGTTCTTGGTAAGCAAGTTCCAAAGTAGAATAATGAAGGAGGCATCACCGTACTGACAGATGAAAGACCTGTGATGCTCTGATTGTTAACAACACACAAATTTGGCTGTTAAAATGCACACTTTTGTAACTGAAATGCTTTTACTCAAGTATCTCCATTAGCTGTATGTAATTGAGCTGGGTTTTGCAGTTCATAGCCAACATCAAGCAGAGGTATCTGGAAGTGCTGAAGATGATTGGCTTGGAGCACGACTTTCTGTTGTAGTTAATTTGCTTTGAAGCAGCTGTTCACTAAAGTCAGTGTGAGCTGTCAGCTTTGCCTGTTTTAAGTCAGTGATGGCTGGGTGGTTCTGTAGCAGCTTTGTTGCTGCGTTCAAAAGAATCTGATAATGTGAACGCAAGCAAAGTGGGCACTAACTACGCTTTCTGTCCTTGAATTTTCGTGGGCTTGAATATGCTCTCAGATAGGTCCCACTTGCCATAAGGAATGACAATTTCTTTCTGCTGTTGCTTTTTAAGATTTCTCTCCCCATCAGAAGTTAGTTATGAGTTTCTTGAGGAGATTGTAAATACATTTTCAAATATTTCAGTTGATTGATTTTGTTTGTTTAATTTAATATGATGCTAGCAATTTTGAGCCTTTACTAGGGTAACAGTTACTGTCTTTAAAAAGTCCTATAATAAAAAGCTCCTTTTTTTCTCTCTTTCCTTGTACTTCTCCTGCTGTGGAAATCATACTCTTGTCTTCAACTGCGGTCTAGTGAAGAGAACAAGCAAACTTGTTCTTGCACGGCAGTCCTCATTAGGATGGAAATTGGTCTGTTTATTTCTAGCAGAGTTTTTGGGACATTGCACATATGAAGAAGTGAAAAACCCGTGAATGCCAGGAATTCGGAATTCATAGTGCAAAACGTGACATTCTACCTGGGCTCAGTGTGGAGACTTAATTCACTGTAATGAACCTTGTTTACAAGTAATCTTCATTTATAGTAATGCCAAAGTAGACCCCAGAGGTTTCACCAGTAGTTATCTTTGTTACATCAGTTTCTTCTTTTTCCACTGTGGTGTTGTATTCAGAGCATAAGAACATTTATGTTTTTTTCTTTTTTCCTCGCTGTTCCATTTTAAAAGAATAATTTAAATGTTGGTGAATGTGAATTGATATTCAGCTCAGATTTGATGTTTCTTCATCATTCTTACATAGTAAATGGTTGAGCCTTTCTTTCTGTTGTGATGAGGCCACTGATTACAACACGCATTTCAAGTTCCCTTGAAGTTTATTACAATAAAAGTTAGGCTGTAATCAGTAAACTCCAGCAAAAACTGTGGGCCGAGATTTTTAAGGTCTTGTTAAACCATCCTTTATTTTCTGAAGAAACAGAAACTGCTGCCAAGTAATTCAGTAGTAGATGTTCCACCAGAAAAGAAGAAGCAAAAGCTCTCTTGGAATGAGTTCTGGAATGCTTGTCCCTTCCATCAAAACTCAGGGTTTAAGTCACTGAGTAAGTGGTGCTATTTGTTTGGCTTTGGAGAGCTCTGGCAGTGATTAACACATAACTTGATAATTTGCCGACAACCTGGTTTTTAAATTATCCTGGCAGTAGTCTTTTGTCACTGAAAGCCATGATATCTCTTCTCACAAGTTACAACCAATAAGACAAGAGGAAATGGCATCGATACACCAGGGAGTGTTTAGGTTAGATGTTAGAAAAAACTTCTACACTGAGAGGGTTGTCAAAGGCTGGAACAGGCTGCCCAGAGAAGTGGTTGAATCACCATCCTTGGATGTATTTAAAAGTCATCTAGATACGGTGCTCAGGGATATGGTTTAGAAGTGGGCCTGGTAGAGTTGGACGGCAGTTGGACTTGATGATCTTAAAGATCTCTTCCAAACGTAATTATTCTATAGTTTCATATTAAAGAAAAAAAAAATCTCTCTTTACAGTTCTCAGAATACTATTTTATCAGCTAGTGCTTTTAATACGAGCGATGTTAAGTAATGGATGTTAGCCATCCGCAGAAGGCAGCATTATCGGTGAGCCGATAACTTCAGTATTTTATTTGTAAGCTACTGACTTTTCGTGTTGACCAAAATACCTACAGAAAGGGTGATAGCACTAAATGCAGTAGGTGGGCAGATTTCATTTGTTCTGAAATCCAGGGAGAACTTGTGTAATGTTTTGGTGTGCTGTTGTTTTGCTGTGTGTATAAAAGCTACTTTTTTTCCTGATAGAGTACACCAAGTGGAAGATTCTGTGATCCAGCCAGTAAATTAAAATTAAGTGGAAATCATCACTGTGTTGCTTTAGGAAGAAATAAAACACAACTTTGTCGTTAGTGCTACCTGACCATGTAGTTCATAGTTGCTTTTTGACCGCAGTGGTGCAAAGCCACGTTTAAAACCAGAACATCCAACTTCTGAATGTGTTTCACAGGATATCTCTGTGTCAATCTTCATGCTTGCAGAGATGTCTTACATGGACTGAGGAAGCACAGGAAGGTCTCTTGTGCTTTAGTCATTCACCGTGTCCAGTTAAGTCTGCTGGAAAGAGAGAGCTCTTACAAAGGTTTCAGGAGATGATCCCAGTTTCCCTCTCAGCAGCTGTGAGAAGAGAATATTAGCTGTGCCTGCGTAAAGCACAAAGAGCAGAGCATTCCACATCTTTGTCAGTGGTAATGTAGATTTTTAGCTATTCTTTAATATTGAAAAAAATAAATAAAAAAGTTAACAAGCACAGCTGAGCCACTTATGCTAAACAGCAATGATTCAGCCCTTCAATTTGCCAACAGACACATCATTATCTTCTAGTTTTTTTATGTCAAAACAGAGTAGGAGTGTAAAATAGTAAAAGCTGATAAGGATTTATACACTAAACTTGTGTTTGGAACAACAACTGAAATGTTCTAATGTAAGGAGGAAATAGTTTGACTTGCATTTACTTCTGTGTATTAAAGCAGCAGCAAGTGAATTGATTATAGAGTGTTTGCACTGATGATTTCTACTAGCTGGTTATAGTAGAAATACCAGAAAACTAGAAGCATTCCTGTTACCTTAAAGCAGTGCATTTTAGTTACTTCACACTTGCTACAAGGAGATGCTGCCAGGGAGGGATAGTAATTTTCTTATGTTTTTTAGGAAAACTGCAGTTCTGTCTACTGAGTCAAAATCTTCACTTTATGGTTAATAAAACCTTGTATTTCACCGAGTGAACAAAACGTACTGATTTCTAGACAATAACCTTTGTTTTGATTAGGCTACTGGTTTTTGACCTAAGAGGTGATGTGCTTCATCATCGTCATCATCATAGAATGGCCTAGGTTGGAAGGGACCTCAGAGATCATTTAATCCAACCTCCCTGTTTTGGGCAGAGACGCCACCTCTCGACTAGACCAGGCAACACATGGGGACCGAGCGGGAATCGAACCCGCGACCTTGGTGTTGTCATTGTTGCCAGCACTGCGCTCCACCCAGTGAGCTAACCAGCAACGAAAGATTGCTCTGGGTATCCCATAGGTTGCTGAGTTTCCTTTAGTACGGTCAAGGTTCCTCTTCTTTTCCCAGCTGAGCAATAGGTAGTTTTTGTAGAGAGAAGAGCTGAGAGTATGGCAGAAATTTGACATTAGCCCTCTCCATCTTCAGCTATATGGGGAAAGTTCTTATATTCTTGTGTAGGTGCTTGGGCTTTATGAATCCTTGATGTTACATTATTGTGCAGATAAATATCTTTTTGGATTCAGTAGTATATAAGCAATTGCATGATGCATGTGATGTGGGAAAACTGCAGATGAAAATTGCTAATGATTTTCATCTTAACAGCATAGATAGTAGCTTCCTGCTGCTCAACAGTATAAAGTACAACTTTAGATTTATTGCATGCAGAAAATACTGCAAGTGAATATGAATAGCAATAACACCATTTTTCGAGTTAGCAAGGATAGTGGCACTACCAATACTTTCCTTGTTGTCATTATTTGGTTATTAACCTTTCTTTTTCCGTTTTATAAATCTTTTTAGAGATTTTGATATGAAGTCTTGGGGGAGAATTAAGAGAAGTCAGAGTCTCAGGTTGAATTTCTTTTTCCAGATGGTCCATTTATTTTCTCACTGTTACAGTTTAAATACTGGTTTCTATTCCCCTCACATGCCTCATTTCCTAACAGCTGCTGCGGTTGCCAGCAGTGGCAGCCTTTCCCAGCAGCTGTGCTCATGCATCCTTTGATGTAGCTGAACTAATGATCATAGGTTGATATTCCTTCTCCATCTCCTCCGGGGAGGAAAATCAGGATAATTTTGAGGGAGGATCAAAATGGGAGAAATGGTGCCGAAAGAGGAGGACTGAAGCCTGAAACTCTGCTTGGAACAGGAACACTCCGTGGCCAGGTGCCAGCAGTCAAGGATTACCTCGGCCACCCCACCAGGGAGGGCTCGTGGTTCCTCCGCTGTGGGGGGGGTGTCCTGACAGCAGCACAAAGAGCCAGGAGGTCTTGTTTGGTTGCTTCCCTGCTTGGCTTCGAAGCAGCCTCTTGGAGCAGTGGTTTCTGGTTCTGGAGCAGACCCAGTGAAGGACTTGGGATCCAAGGTTTGGGCTCCTGAACCTTGTAGAGGCTCTGGCTTGCACCTCAGACATGGTGATGGGCTTGGCTGGGTGACGTGTGCTGTCCCCTCTTTGCAGGGGCTCCGGAGAGGCACTGGATCAGAAGCTTGATTTAGGTTATTACCAAACACTCGATGCCTTGAGGTTTGTGGGAATTGATTGCTTTGTATCCTAACTAAAAATAACCAAACAACCCATACCACTCTTTCTACAATAGCAAAACAGTATTTTTTTTAATTTTCTCTTAAGATGGAAAGAACAGGAGCAGAAATATTGCCGCTTTATAATGCTGTAATTGTGTGAAACGGAAGGGGGCAGTTACATGCTGTTCTGAGTGAGGAATATATGGAAAGAGCAGCGCAAAAGATCACAGCACCTGGAGATAGTGGTCGTGGCAAAGAAGAGATGTCTTGTGCATTACCTGGAGCATTACACAGAACGTGCAAGAGATACCCACATCTTCTGTTAAACATACGTTCCAAGATTCATCTGAGTGGCATTTCAATGTACTTCTTATTTCTGTCTGATAACACCTCCTATTACTTTTTTTTCCCTTTTTTGTCTCTCTAAAGCTAGTTACAATAATGCAAAATGAGCATTCTCTAGTTCTGTCTTGCTTCTAGCACCACCCACCGCTTCTAATCCTAATAGGATTTTTAACTGCTTTTTGTCTGTGCTTTATTTTCCCAGATCTAATAACCTTTAAAAGGAAACCTTTATTAAGTAAACAGAAGATGGAGTTCAGGTATATCCATCCCTTTCTTTTGCTGAGCGAGTCTGATGTTTCCTATGCAAAGAGATCTTTTGGCTTCTGTTTAGTCTTAATGAGGAAATGGCAAAGTTGCTTTAGAAGTTACAAAGTGGGCAGCCAGCATTTCACAAAAAGTTGGCATTTTTAATTCTATTATAAAGTCCTTATGCAGGTGACAGAACTACACCATAATGAGATACCCTGTCTTTAACAGGCTCTGCAGTCTTTTCTTACAGTGAGAAACTACTTTCAGTGTAATCGACTTGAAAAATTTTAATTAAGAACCTTATGTTTATCGGGAAAACAGACATTGATGTGAACAGGTCGAATTAGTAGGATGGGCTTGCAAGATATCCAGAATGACTGAAAGGGGGCAAAGAGATGTCCAAGGCAAGCGAATAAATACAAAATGATTGTCAGCCTGGCTGTTTGAGGTTCAGGCAGTGATGCCTGGGGTTTATTTCTTTTGTGAGCTTACGAAGTACCAAGGGAATGATGTTGCAGGAGCATGCAGGTATTTGTCATGGACTTTGCAGCTGCTCTGCCAAGCTCTGACTCCTCTTGCTACTCTGTCTGTCTGTTGGGAGCTGGTTTTCTTACCCAGCTGTGGGAGGTAACTGGGCCCTCATAGCTCTTCCGTGGCTGCTGGTACAGGAAAAGTAATATGTGGCGGTGGGGCAGTGGCAGCTAATTGCCTGCAAGGTGCAGGGCAATGCAGAAAGGAATGCAAAGGAAATCATTGAGCTTTGTTGAAGTGAGTAGATGAGAAGGGTGAATACAGAGGGGGTTTCAGTGCCCTTTCCTGGGCTTCTTGGATTGCAACAAGAGCAGGTTTGCCACCACTAGTGTGTAGGTCGGCTTCCAGGCTCTCTGCCTGCCTTGTGTGGTTTCAGTGGGACCACTAAAATGAGACATGGATTTGCTCCGTGAGAGAGTAAGAAGAATTCAGTGTCACAGCAAGGGAGCAGCAGATGGAGAGAGCAGGTCCTCCCCGTAGTGGGCTACAGCAGCCTCTCCTGCTCCTCAGTCTTTGGGATTGTGACACAGCATCGCTATGTGGTGCCAGAAACGGCAGCGATCTACTCTTTGTGATCGACTTGGGGTCAAGGAGCTCTGGTCCTGCTATTCGTGTCTCTTTGAAGAATAAGGTCCTGCCAAGATGAATGAATTATGGAATAACTTAATTTTTCCTTTGCGTTTTCATCCTTTGTTGTTCTAATGGAGAAAGAGTAGCAGTCAGCGTATCCTTAGCCTGTTGAGAACTGGTGATCATCACTGTTGTGTAGTAAATGTCCTCTGAGATCAGAAGTCAGAGAGAAGGGAAGCGAATCGTAGACACCCTGCAGAGAACTGAGCTACAAACAGCAAGGAAGAACTAAAGAAAAGAGGCCTTTTCTTATAAACTTTAGACTTTCACATACAGCTAAGTTGCACAATCTCCTATTACAAAGCAGTGGGTAAGGAGGAAAAGAAGAACGGAAGATGAAGTATTTGAAGTGGATAGATGATGTGTTTTACCCAAACATTTTTGTAGCTAAGAAGTAAAACTGGATATAACCAAAGAGCAAAGGAAAGTAGCTCTGAGTCTGGAATTAGGAAAAGTGCTTTCCACTTTTCCCCAGCCAGAATTTTTTTGTTTTTAATTCACTTAATTGTTTTCTCATCCTCTTTGAACTGGTAGGCTTTGTATCCTTAATAAGGAAGAGAACCTGTGACCTGCTAAATGCCAAATGCCCTTAACCCTGAATATGTGTGGGCACATACCTTCAGACTGGCTACTCTGCCCTTCCACTCTCCTCACTGCCCATCCTCAACTCTTATTAATTTGTGGTCATTATCAAATTGTACATAAAAGAGATTCTTAAAGCTTGTTTATAGTAATTACCATAGCCAAGCTGAAGTGAAGTCCAGTTTGTCAAACTGACCCAGATCTCCCTTCTAAACATTGAACTCACTTTAGTATAGTCACTGTCTAGACTGACAAAAAAAAAAAAATAGTGCTAGATACATGGATAGTCGTGGGAACAGCAGCATTCAAGCTGTTCCAAAAATGGCTAGCAAAATTGGAGGGGGGGAGGGAGAAACAAAAAAAAAAACCCCTGCAAACCAAAAAAATCTAAAAGTCTTCTTCCTGTGCTCTCATTTACTTCTTCCTGTATAGGGGACTTAAAAAATGTATTTGGGAATAGAGTCTGAAGGCAAGCATCAAGTTAGAATTGTAGAATAGAATCATGTTCTGTGACTCCAAAACAGACTAATCAAAAAAAGGTCAATATTAAAAAACCCCTTTTATCTGTACACATTTAGATGTACTTTTTCCTATCAAAGAGTTTTTACTGAGGCTGGAGGTGAAGTCCGCAAGTTGGCCAAACAGGCTTCCAGCTGGTTAAGGGATACCCTTGTTAAACTCTGACGCAGTCTCTGGACACCTCGGTTTGGGTGTTGGTTAACCTGGCAGATAGTTAACGCACCCCTGTCTGGGGCCACTGCTGTGGTCAGAAAGCCCTACAGCTGAGCCGCTGAAATAGGACGAATTTCTGTTTCCGCAGCCTTTTGCGATAGCCGAAATAAGAAGAATTTCTGTTTCCGCAGCCTTTTGCGATAGCCTGTTCCATGTTCAGGTAGATTTCTTTTTACCAGCATAACATTTTGAAGCAGGTTCTGAAATTCTTGCTTTTTGTTTCTGTCATTCAAACTCATTAGCCCCCAAATATCAAGTACTTAGATTTTGTTAATACGAAAGTGCTGTAACAGGACACAATAGATCTTCCAAATGTTTTCATAAGACAACTAAAACCTTTTCTGTGTGTGACATGAAAGAGAAGTAAAATTAATTGGACAAGGTTGGCATTCTTCACACTTTCTGTCTGCAGCTTTCGGGATGGCAACAGAAAATAGATTTTACTTAAACAATAAGAACAGTGAAGATATTTTACAAGTGGGCAGCAAAATTTCCATTCTTCACACTTTCTGTCTGCAGCTTTCGAGATGGCGACAGAAAATAGTTTTTACTTAAACAATAAGAACAATGAAGATATTTTACAAGTGGGCAGCAAAATTTCTCTGAAATTCTCCTTCGTTATGTATAAAAAGGCAGAATTTTCATGTTCAGTATGAAATGGTGGTTCTGTAACTGAAATGTTAGCATTAAATGAATAATGAAACATTCTATCAGTCTGCATTTGAGAGAATCGTTAATTTTTCAAATGTGACTGGTTGTGAGATCTATCATGTAAGAAGTTTAACATGACAGCTGTGTCAGGTTAGAATGGGAAAGCTGGGAGGTTTTTGGCCTTTTATATTAATATAAGGAAGGAATATTGATACATGAACTTCTAACATTTAAAAAATATTGAATTTACTTAACATACAATGCAATTTAACTAAAGAAAACTGAGACGGCGTGCTTTTGCGCTCTTGAAACAAGCCAAAATTTTTAGACAACTTGGCTTTTGATTCCAAACTCGGTTCAAGAGAACCTGCCTTTACAAAACGTTACAAGGTTGCGTAGGTTTGGTTCTTTCGGCCAGTTGGCCTTCACTTGTGCTGTCCTGCTTGGAGAACCAAGCTTTTCGTTCGAAGTGTTTCTAGGTAGAAGCACACAAACTTGAAAAGATCCAAACTTGAAAAAGAACAGACAGGCTGTGTCCTCATTTTAATTCATAGATATAGAAAGCTGTTCGTGTTGCATAGAGAAATTAAGACCATCGATAAACGTGTTCTATGTTTCTTATTTGTCGTGGACAGAACCTGTAGGGTTCTGATTTATTCCAGAAGCAGCAAATCATTATTTTACCGCTGCTGCCATTTAGTGGTCCGTAGATGATCATCTGGTGTATTACTGCATAGTTTCATTGTCATCTGGCAGCCGTAAATCTAGCATTTTACCTACTGCAGAGAGATAGTGTTGTGTTCTTCAAAGATTGTTGCAGCTAAGGCAAACTTCTAAAGCAATTTTCCTGTAATTTTCAGTATTTTGCTTTTGGTTGTTGTTATAATCAGTGCAGGTACAAAAATTTACTGTTTTACATTGACTTTAAACTTCTCAAAAAGCAGTGTATTTGTTTCTTCTCTAGGCTTGCACAAAAAACAAGCAATGGCTTTTTTTTCCCCCCCCACTTACTGACAGGCGAGCACGAGGCGTTTGCGTTCCAGCGGTTCACCTGCACCTGACGGCAGCCACCATGCAAGTCAGCCAGAAAGACTTTGAAAAGGCTCAAGAACAACTGAAGCTTTTGAAAAAGGATCCTGGGAATGAAACTAAGTTGCAGCTCTATGCTCTGTTTAAACAGGTAGGCTTGACTTTACTTGGTAAACGGGTATTTGTCATCTGAGGGGATGGACCTGTAACATATTTACATAAAGCAGGGGTTGTTCAAATGTATTGTGCCTTAACAAGATCTTCTCTTCTTGAAAGGCCAGCCCCTCAAACTCTGCCTGAATCCTTAGGGAAGCCAAACCTGTTTCATTTTACAAATCATGCTTTGAGTAGAAATCTTTTATTCAAAGGAATAGAGCAAATTTACAATTGTGTGATGCCTTCCATATAATATAGCATATATTGATGTGGCTCTGGGAAATAGTTTATGCCTAGGACAAAAGAGTATGCCATGTGCTTCCTCTTAAATATGTTGTGTCTGCAATCAGTCACCTGGGCCTGTAATGTCATGTTGTTGACATAGGAAGGTTAATTTTTTTATTTATTTATTTTTTTTGCTTTTCCTTCTTTTGTGTGGTTGTTCTAGTCTTCCATTCCACCTTGCCCCTCAAATTCTACCACACTTTGAAGGTTATTCTTTACTGCAGCATGGAAGGAGACCTTTGCAGAAATAGCGGCAAGTCCTTGGCAGGGTTTGTGCTATTATTTGGGGAAGTATTTGTGGGTCAAGATTGGCTGCAGAGTCAGTATAGGGTGTGGATCGTTGCACTGAAGAAGACAATCAGTCACTCCCTAAAAGAAACTCTTCAGCAGATGGCTATTCCAGATAGTTTTACTGATTTATTAGGACATAATTTTATTTGTTGTTTATTATATTATTATATTAGTTTATTACTTGTTACTAAGAATTAATAATCATGAGCTCATAGAATCGTTAAGGTCAGAAAAGACCTCTAAGATCATCTAGTCAAACCAACACTACAATGACCGCTAAACTCTATCCTGAAGTGCCACGTCTACATGTAAATGTGTTTGTTATTTTCTGCCTCTGTCCTGAAATATTTCTCTCCAATACTGTGATCATAGAATGCTTCAGGATAGCTCAGACTCCTGTCGTTCAAAGGGCCCAGTGCCCTTGCTCATAGCAGGGCCACTTTTGGAGTAAGGTCCAGCTTAGTAGATCCTGTGGTTTCTTTGCTCACAGACCTTACAAGTCTTTAACTTTCTTTTTAAACCATAAAACTTCCACAGTTTTTGACACAGGAGAACTTAACATGCATAGACGTTTTGGAAACCAGTGTCTCGTGTTGGTTAGACATTTTTGAAAGCCCAGCACCAGGCATTAGGCAATAGCAGATACTGAAGACTTGGTCGTATGTGAGTTGTCTGAATATTGCCCAAGCGCTAGGTATTCCTTCCATTTCAGAGATGATTTCTACCACAGTCATCTTTTGTATGTGAATTGTCTGAATATTGCCCAAGCACTAGGTATTCCTTCTGTTTCAGAGATGATTTCTACCACAGTCATCTTTTTCTACTTTAGTCAAAGGCTTAAATAAGTTTTTATTTCATTCTTTTTTTCAGGCTACCGAAGGTCCTTGCAATTCTCCAAAGCCTGGTATGCTGGACTTTGTCAAGAAAGCCAAGTGGGATGCATGGAATTCTCTTGGCGATTTGTCTCAGGTGACAATGTCTATGATTTCACTCAGATGCTTCGTAGATTACCTTGAAGTGCCTGTTCTGTAATTGAGTAGCTGGTGTCTGAAATATGTTATATGCTAGTTGAATGACTGTGCTTTAGGCACCAAAATGTTTTGCACTGTGTTCTACAGTCACTTCACTGCTTCGGTGTTTGGAGGTTCTTTTTTTTATTGTGTAAGGCTTGTTCTACATCATTAGTGCCAGCTTGTACCAATGTAAATTTCTTTACGTATCTGTTGACTCTCAATAAAAATAGTGCTTTTCACACTGTGTTCTATTCTACTCTCCCTTTTAAGAAAGATAGATTGAGCTTCTCTGCTCTTAAAATAAAGAGCAAATTTGTGAATCCAGCATATTGATAACTTTGTAATTTTAAAAGGTCAGTCTCTTATGCCACTAACTAAAAGACTAGAAAAAAAGCTGTATATTGAGGGCCTCTCTTCGTTCTCACTCAGTGTATCTTACATCTTTAATACCTTTCGAAACCTTTAGAGAAGTCTTTATTTCAAGTGAGGCAAGCCAGAAGAATACAGATGCAAAGATATGCAAGTGTTCTTTTTTTCATGCAGACTGTAGTAAGTCCAACATCACATATTAGCTACCACAGTTCCTTCAGCTACTATTAAATGAAGGAAGTATAAGTTTTACAAACCAGCTGTGTCACTGCTGCATTAGGCCAGCTGTTAGGAGTAGTTTCTGAGGTCAGTCAAGGATAATATAGAAGTATTTTGCATTTTTCCTTTTAAAAGAAAACATACTTGCATGATTTTATGAGTATAACATATTCTTGTGCCGCTTTTGGTTGCATCTTGATTTTTTTTTTGTTTGCATTTTGTTTTCTGAGATGGCTATGTATCTTGTAGGAATAGCCAAGAAACACTTAAAGAATCTGCTCTTGAACTTACAACGGAGAGGTAATAGACAATCTCATATGCAACAGATTACAGATCATAGAATTGTTCAAAGTGCATTATCCTTCCAAGAAAACAGGTTCTAAAAATCAAGAACGTGGAATTCTTTTAAATCACTGCTTACTATAGAAATAGGGAGGCAGGATTCTTCAGGCTTCTGCGTGTAATGTTTGTGCTAGATGAAAACTAGTGCCTTCAAGCAATTCTAAAACGCCATAGACCCATTTTGGCACTCGTATTTTCAGCAACACATGTTGCTGAAATAAAAACTTTTATTTTGTTGGAGAAATGTCCAACTGGAAAGCAGAAACAGAGGACCCATAGACATGTGTAAATGCTGGGAATGCAACAAATATCTTGTCCTGGTTTTCTGTTCAGTGATTTTTACTTTCCAGCTCAGTCTCTTCTCAGAGGCTGCACTCTCTGAAGTCAGCAGCACGTTTCTGCAGATAGTGTGTGCTACTGGCAGTGATAACACCTGATGTTTACAGTCACTGCCTGGCACTGGGATGCAGAAAGGCTCTTGCTTGGACTTATCCCTGCAGTGACCAAGGCCACTGCTGGCTCGTGTGTGCCACGCTGGGGGTGCTGGGAGGTAAGAGGGGCCAAACAAAGTAAAACGTTGCACCTCCGGGAAGTTACAGACAGAACAAGTGACCAACAACAGTATCCCATCCCATGTACATCATACTCAGTATAAAGCTGAGGGATCACAGGAGTTAAGGTCTCTTCTTCAGTGGGTGGCATCTGAGGAGGGCTCTGTCTGATCTTCTGGCTTTGATCCCAGTCTCAAGCTCCCGAATCCAGCTCCCTTGTCTGGTTCCCCCCTGCTGCTGAGCCTGGGGCTGCCGCGGTGCCGCTCACTCTACAGCATCAGTGGGGATTGTTCTTGGGGTGGCAGGAGATTCGGATTCAGTTTCGGTTTTGTATATATTTGTATAGATTTAATTATTTTCATTAACATCAGTACTGTTATTAATTTATTGAAGCTGTTGTTGTTTTCTCTTCCAATCCATAAGTCTCTCTGCCTCATTCCCTTTCCCTTCCAGTTTGGGAAGAGAGAGGGGTTAGAGAGCATCTGTCAGGGTTCAGTGGCCAGCTCAGCCCTAACCCTCAACAGATTTATTGACGCCCAATATCAGGCACAAACCGGGCTCTGATATATTGCCCAAATACTTCAGATTCCACCTCACGCAGTTAAGGAGTATCAGATCTTTTCTTTGAGAATCCTGAGGGGTTGGAAAAAAAAACGCTCACAGCTTGCATCATGTCATTGTTGAATGCAATATTATATCATGTCCTTTTAAGTTTTCAGTCAGAGTTCACTGTATTAGTGCGGACTTGCCTGCCATTTGCATTGTGGTATTGTTTATTTGTTATTATTTTGTTGTGGTTTTTACATTGTGGGTGCAAGGTGATCGCTGCTGCTGTGCTGTGGTGTTTACTGCTGGTCTATGGTTTGATAAACTGGGCAGCAAGTTTACCTGGGTTCCTCGGATGCTGGCTGATGGATTTTCTTATTAATTATAGTCTCAATTTCACCTTGGAAAATCACCACTTCTTTGTCTGACAAGCTGATCCCACCAGATTGTGATAACTTTGGATACGGTTATTATTATCTTTTATCATTTTTGTTGAACGTATTTCCGATTCTCTTGTGTATGTGGCCACAATTTAAGCCTCAGCGCTGGTCTAGGTCTTACAGGGTTTTGACAACACGGAGCACTGCCACTGCTCCAGCTTCAGCACTGGATGCTGCTGCTACTCGGACTTCAACTACTCAAACTCGGGCAAGGAACACTGCAAAAACATCGACAGCCGCTGTGGGCGCTCCTGAATCCATACTGGTACAGTTGCTCCAGTTTTCTCAGTGATGGATGAGGAAGATCCTCATGTAGCACCATCAAAGGAGTCCAAAGCCAAGGTGACAGATGATGCCCCTGCGACTGGGAACAAACACCTAACAAAACCAGGTCTCCCAGTTTCAGGTTATGAAACCCTAACCCTCAACAAGTCTCTCGGTGGATGGGAATATTTCTCCAGAAAAATAAGCATCATCGTCCCAGCATTTATGCACTTCTGTTTTGCAGATCCATTTCCATATGACTTAGAGCATGGTTTCCGGTGTTTAAAAACAACGTATTCCTATTCTCATCCTAATTAGAATGCTTTCTGATTGAGATTGAGATTTGATTTTTTTTTTTTTTTCCTGAAGCACAGGCCTTCCCTTATTTTCCCCCGGAGATTACCATTTTATGAACAGCGTAACAAACTGATTTCCATTTCAGCCTTTGCTAATCTTGTGTGATTTTTTTTTTTCTTTCTTTTTCTTTCATTGCAGGATAATGCCAGACAGAAATATACTGAACTTGTCTCAAGTCTGATCTCTGCAGAATCTGCTGGCCAGAAAAAAGATGCTTCTCCAGAAGAGGGCAGACATGATGGCTATGAAACGATACTAGTTACCACCAAAAACAATATCACAAAGATAATGTTTAACCGACCTGATAGGAAAAATGCCATCAACCGTAAGGTAAAGAAATCAATTTGGGAGAATTAATGGTTTTTTTCTTTCCTGGGTAGGCTACTTAAATTTTTAAAGAATCATTACTACAGGTTTAGCAGAACTGACTGAAGTGTGATGGTCTGAATTTTGTGAGAGCTTAGTATCTTGACTCTGATGACAACCTACAGAGTAAATAACCAGTATAAAATGAAACTATTATGCCAGAATTTTACAGGTTGGGCTATTCTGTGTCTTTTGAGGTTTTTTTTCAAACTTGGGAGGTTACAATCTGCGCTGAACTAAAGTGGCCGGTTTTGTGGAGAGAGGATTTGACTGTAGCTTTATGTCTATCAAAGCACGTGTGCAGCCTAGTTTGGTTCAGCGCTGTTGTGTGTATGTCTAGAGTCTTGAGATTCCCATAGCTATTTTCATGAGGAAATCCATCCCATCGGAAACATTTCACAGCTGCAAAGATGACTGAACAAGAGCTTCACCCCTCTGCTGCTAATTCTTTAATATATTAATTTTGCCCCTTAAACTACTTGTCAGGTTTTAAAATTAGCTGTATCCAGTTCTGAAAGACCTTATTCTGTCCGTTAGATTTTGATCAGCAGTCTCGACTATTGCAAGAATATGTCTTTATTATCAGAAATACCTCACATACAGTGCCTAAGTTTCTGTGGATATACTTTTTTTTAAAAGGCCCGTAATCTGTCTCTTGAGTTTGTTGTTATCAGTGTAAATCTCCTTTTTATTGTCTTTTCCAGTTATCACATTTGTAGTTGTTGATTTATTTTTTTATTCCTCTTACACAGATGTACAGAGAAATTATCAAAGCACTTGAAGAAGCTGGGAAAGACGATTCTACCATAGCAGTTATTACTGGTACAACACTTCATATGCCCCTCAGATTTGTTTTGTATTATGCCAAAGTATGGTACTGACATGAGCTATCTACCTGTATTTAGACTAAGGTACAACTGTATAAGTGAGGAAATTCTTTCATCTAGTATAGACGAAAGGTTTTTCCAGAGTGGCTTGGCAGATTTCTTTAAAGATGGTGTTTCAAATTCTTTAGCAAAGTTGCTGTTACGTCAGAAAATACCTTTCTTAGTTGGAAAGATAGACATGGAATACTCTTAAGGGCTTTAATGCTTTTGAATAGTTGATATGTCTGCTCCACAGTGTCTTTATGGGTATGGGTTTAGTTAATTTTCTCTATCTCTGTGATACACTGGAACATACTGAAAACAAGCCCTTTAAATCCTGCACTGACATGGCCCACAGAAAGTCTGCGCTGCATATTTACCTGTGATCATCAGAAAAAAATCATGCTTTATGTGGACTTTTTTTTCCCTATGGCTGCAATAGAAAAGGATTGGCCAGGCGAGCTGCAGCCTGGCCTGGCTGTGTCCATCCCAGTCGCCAGTTGTGTGCAGCTGAGTGAGCGCAGCAATAATACGAAAGGGCAGCCCAAACTCACGCTGCCTGTGAGGTCCAGCTGCTCTGGGGACACATGGTTTAGATCCTTTAGAGGACCCTTAGATCTGTCTCTGACGCTGACTGACCGATGCAGCAGCGAGGGCCGGAGGGACAGGGTGGCTGAGGGCAGGTGCTGCCTGTCCTGATCATCCTTTGGGCAGATGGGGGTGCGTTTAGGAAATTAGCCAAAGCCTGGGCTTTGGCTGACAGCTACGTAGTGTGGATGCAAGGTGAATTTGGGCTTAAGCCCATTAACCCATTACTTCTGAGATATTTGCATACGTGTTCTTCTTCTCCGCTGTCTTCTTTCCCAACACCTAGTGCTCCCGGGATCCTGCATTTCTTTTCAGTAGCAGTGACTAGGCACAACCACCCTTACAAAACAAAAAGGGTAGTTTACACAACTGGAACGTTTAGCACGTGTATAGCTAAGAGTAAAGAGCAAAGACCCCTGCACAAACCTCTCTGTTCGATGTAGTTAGTAAAGGCACTGCAGTGTAAAGTAATGGATGCGCTAACCAGCGGGAGGTCCCATCCTATGAATGTCCTTGTGGAATGTGGGATGATTTAGACGATTAAATCATGCAGTTTAGCTTCTAAATACTCCTTGCTTTTTTTGATGGTGCCTCAGCCTATCTTGCACGTTCACTGGCAGGTAATCTGCTGCTTATTGAAGAATACATCTCTGAGTACAGTGATTTCAATGCGGTGCTGTCAGTCTTGTCCTTAGAATTCTATGCCTGTTCCTTAACTGGTCCTAAAACCTGTAAAACTTCTGCCACGTACTAAATAGGTTATTCTGTCTACTTTTGATTCCTTCATTAGTTTGAAGGGGCAGGAAGGGAGATGCATAAACTTACATTTCCATCTTCCTCTTTAAAAAAAACCGTGTCTTGCATCTTACTGCATGAATGGTTGTGAACTGACAGGAAGAAAAACTCAAGCAAGTATGCAAGGAAAGAAGTACATTGGTTTTTTTCATCTGATACTTACGGGTTCCCCCCCTCCAGTCTTAAAATTAAATATTCTTTGGCTTTTTACCCATTGTGTTCTAGTGCATTGTCAGTCAGAACTTATTTTTAAACCATATATATTCTTTAATGTAAGTGTATACTTTGAGACAATCCCTCTAATTATTAACGTTAGACACTTGGAGTGAAATGATTGTGTAAATGTAATAAGTGGAAGCTTCTCTTACCTATGCATTTATTCATATGTGTTGTCTGCAGGAAATGGAGACTACTATAGCAGTGGGAATGATCTGAGTAATTTTACTGATGTCCCGCCTGGTGGAATGGAGAAGATGGCAGAAGATGGAGCAGTATTACTCAAGTAATTTCATATATGCCTAAGCTACAGTAATGGGTGAAATGGAATTTGCAGGCACTTAGCAAACATGACTGCAGGTACCCACCAGGACTAACCGTGTGCACCAACACAAAGATCATGTGGGAGAAGTAGTATTAATTGCATGAAATAAGTAAGAAAGTGAGATGAGTATTAGAAATCTTAAGTACAGTGATGCTAAAGGCTCAATGTTATTTTTAGTCCCCAAAGTACCTGCAGATATAATGACAAAAACCTTATTTTGGCTGTATAGCTTGTAAGCTTCAATGAAAAATCTGTGGGGTTTTTGATATCTGGCAGTGCCTACCCTAGCGGACATCCCAGAATACATTCACTGTCAGATGTCTTTGACTAGAGGTTAGGTGTAACGAACTTGTTCAGAATTGCCCGGGAATTCTGAGATCTTTGAGTCTGAACCTACCTGGTAAACTAATTTATTTTCTAAGGTCAGGGAGATCAAAGGCATCATGTGACACAGTGGCTGAATTGGTAGTTTTGGGGACAAACCGCATGTTTCTTTCTTCCCTGTGTAAGCTGATTTCATCTTCTCCTTTACTTCTGGGTGTGACTGTTATATCTGAGATATGTTTGCACGTTGGATTGCTCTCTCAAGCATTTGCAATCAATAGAAAAATCTAAATACACAGAAAGGCAAACAATGATTTTTTTTTTTTTTTTTAAATGAACTGCAAGTGAAGTACTCGATTTTGCAGCTTTTGCTTGGGCAAGCTGTCCGTGGATCACAGTTGCCCCTACAAAGCAATAATGATGCTGTCCAAGTCTGTTGGGAAGGTGTTATTTGGTGGTATCTGGCGTTCTACAGTGCTTTGTGGGGTATTTGACCTGCGTGTTACTTTATGGTCGTTCATCCTGCTCTTCACAGGATCACAGAATGTCAGGGCTTGGAA